GGAAGTAACTCAAATGCTATTCAAAGATTGAAATAAATGAGCATTAAGAAAATATCCTTTGGATTTGTCAATGTGGTAATCATTGTAAATCTTTGTGATTTGTTTGTTTTGTTTGTTCAGTGAAAAGGTTGGGAAGAAATTATCAAGAAATAACATTGTAAGTAACACCACTTTACCAATTTGAGATTGTGTGAAGTGAGGGAATAAAATCCCAGCATTTGAGAGGACTCTGAGAAACTGAGAGAACTCAGAGGAAAGCTTGTTTTCTTTTAAAGGAGGTTGATGGTCTAGTCACTTTTGTTGATCGTGGGGAGAGTTTTCAGAGTGCACAATGCAAAGGTCTTAGAAATGGATGAAGGAGTTAAGGATAATGTATAAAGAAGAATAGATAGAACCTTAAGTGAATGATAATGCAGTAGACTGAGAGGAGGAATACTTTTTCTGTAAAGGGGCTGACAGCAAATATTCTTCATTTTCTATACCATAAAGTCTCCGTTGCAACCACTCAAGTCTGATGCTTAGTGTGCAACCAGCCATAGAAAATCTATAAATGAACACTGTGGCTGTTTTCTGGAAAACTTTGTTTCTGGGCACTGAATATGAATTTTATATACTATGATATACTATTGAAGTGTGACAAAATGTTATCCTTCTTTTGATTATTTTTTAACAATTAAAAGCATGCAAAGTCTTTTCAGCCCACAAGCCTTACAGAAACAGACTGTGGCCAGGATTGGCCCATGGTGTGTGTAGTGTCCTGACCCCTGCTCTAGAGGCTCTTTGGAAGGAGGTGTTTGTAGAGGGCTGAATCTGGCCTACATGTCTGGGCAGTGGCTCATAAAAAGCTGTTAAGATTCTCCATCTTTGAGGAAGTCAGTAGTGTTGGATCTGATGGCTTGTAGACTCAGCTCACGTGGCCAGGTTTATGTTGAGCTAAGCTTACTTGCTCACCTTTTGGGAAGTACTAAACCAAACTCAGAGACTTTAGACTGTGAAACCATACCACCTCTATCGTGGCCATCCTAAAAGCTGCAGACTGCACCAGATGTGCCTGGACATGGAGGTGACTCCCAAAACTACAAACAGACGGACTCCACTAAGAAGAGTTTGCGGAAAACCTCTTACCATGTGCTTGTCAAGAGGAGTCTAGTTTTACAGTATAATGGTTTTTAGATTTTAGTATCAGAAGAGTTCTCTACAGCCTAAGCTATAAGACATTATCAAAAAAGCAATATTCTAACAAGCTTAACAGCTACAGATTAGTGGAAGTGGTATTTTAATTAACCTTAAGATTACAGCAAGCTAGCACTGTTAAATATTTTAAATTACAAGAATGACCTTACAAATAGGGGCTTCCTTTTAGGACTTTTGACAGAAATTTATATTGATACTAATTTACACCACTTTTAATTTACTATGAGGAAATGATTACTGAAGGTTGGCAATGCTTAAACACTGCAAAGATCTTTCATCTTGAAAGTAGGAGAGTGACAGTTTTGCTGATGCATTATTAATTTCTAATATATCTGGTTTTCTAATGCCAATTTTTAAACTCATTTAACTCCTAAAACTCGGCTTGCACAAACATTATTACTGATGTTTTAGCAATGAAAAGAAGAATCTCTTGAGTTAAAAAGCCATGTAATTTTACTTGGCTAATTTTTTAAAAACTCAAAGGCACGAATATTTTAAAATCATCAATATTTTAGTTGAAGTAAATGGGATTATCTTTAAATAGCTCATATTTTGCTTAGCTTAATTGGTAAATTATGATAAAACTTTAGAGGATATTTAGATATTTGAAGCTTCACTAGTAACTAGGGAATATAGTTTGTACTAAACAGCTTCATTGCACTTTTAAATAATAGATTTGTAATCTTAAGAAATTGAGAACTAAACATAACAAATGGAAAGATGAAGAATATGAGTATCCTAAGGAGGGGGTTGCATCATTTTAGGGTTTATGGAACCAACTATAGGAGCTTCCCTGGTAGCCTAAATGGTAAAGAATCCACTTGCAGTGCAGGAGATCCCTGGATCAGGAAGATTCCCTGGAGAAGGGAATGGCAACCCACTCCAATATTCTTGCCTGGAGAATTCCATGGATAGAGGAGTCTGGTGGACTACAGTCCATGGGGTTGCAAAGAGTCAGACATGACTGAGTCACTTACATAGGTTCTTAGTAATTTTCAAGATGACTGGCTAAGGAAGAATGCATTCTGAATTACCTCCTTTGAGTATTTTTGTCAATAAGGTAGGTAGTGGTGGTAATTATAAAAGGATAATGTTTGGGCACAGAGTCAGATGGGAGAAAGTGATGAAAAGAAGAATTTTTCTAGTCAGAGGCTGTGTTAATTGCTAAAAATAGATCGATCCCATGCCAGTGTTTATATGTTCCACTTTCCTTTCTGTCTCAAGTCCCAGAAGAATCTGCAGTTTCTTCTCCTGATGCTTTCTCTCTTGCATTTTTGAATATTGCTTTCTGAGCATCTGTAAAAAAGGTTTCAGTCCATTTGATGGGAGTCCTAGGTTAACTTGTGTATAGTAGCCACTAAAGAAATTGACCCAAGAGATTAGGAGGGAAGGCAGGAAGAGTGAGATTTAGAGTGGCCACACTTGTTACCTTATTTGTTTGGGTAGCAAGGAACAGTCCTAGGTATGGGCAAGTGGACTAGACAGGGGTAGGGGCCATGCTAAGTTAGGGAGCCTTGTGATTGACTTATGAGGACACATGGCCTTGGTTCTCCTGCACTGAGACACTTCAAGTAGCCACACTGAGGTTAATGGCTTTGCTCTACATGACAATGCTTACAGTCACATATGACGTACGTTGCAAGTACCTTGTTATCTAACTGGGTAAAGCACTGATGTTGTCAATATTTCCCTCATAAATTAGAAGGTTCAAGATTATTCCTATCACTGTATCTTTAATCATGAACATTATTCTTGGTTTTGAGAGAGACAGCAGCAATATATAATTTTTGAAAAACTGCCTGAAGCTCTGGATTGCAGTTAGGGTATGAGAAACACACAGAATCATGTAAATGCCCTTGGGAGTACGTGGCATGGGGGAACACTATTGGTCATATTTAAGGCGAGGATAAAGGCTGAGAATCTCTGATATAATCCAGTTAAGGTTAGTTTCTCAGATTAAGTTCATCAGTTAACTACTATTTGCCTTTTAAGTGCAGCACATTACTAGATACAGCAGCTCGGATGATAAGCCATATCAGTCATGATGTTTGAAAGTTCTCCAGACTGAAAGAAAAGTACAGTTTTGCCTCTATCTACATGTTAAGCCGGTTTTAGAAAAGGTAGAGGAACCAGAGATCAAATTGCCAACATCTGCTGGGTCATCGAAAAAGCAACAGAGTTCCAGAAAAACATCTACTTGTGCTTTATTGACCATGCCAAAGCCTTTGACTGTATGGATAACAATAAACTGTGGAAGATTCTGAAAGAGATGGGAATACTATACCACCTGNTGAAGCTGAAACTCCAGTACTTTGGCCACCTGATATGAAGAGCTGACTCATTTGAAAAGACCCTGATGCTGGGAAAGATTGAGGGCAGGAGAAAGTGCCGACAGAGGATGAGATGGTTGGATGACATCACTGACTCAATGGACATGAGTTTGGATAGGCTCCGGGAGTTGGTGATGAATAGGGAGGCCTGGTGTGCTGCAGTCCATGGGGTCACAAAGAGACGACTTAGCAACTGAACTGAACTGAGCTGAACACGTTAAGCTGTTTAAATATGTCAGTTGTCACAAAGAAAATGAGTTGATTGGGCTTGGATTAGGATTGTAAACTCCAGTTTTAACATAAGGATAAAAGTGGGCAGAAGTGGAGGCAGAGTGCTGTCAGTAACTAGAACAGATTTTAAGATGTATACTCGTACAATGACCATTGTCCTTGAGCAGTTCTTGGTCAGGTGAAAGCAGTGTATCACAGCTGTGAGTAGTAAGGTTGGAAGAGATTAGTACATTTAGTTTGGATCTGGAATGTGTTACGGACTTTTAAATGATTGAGGTAAGTTTCGTGTTTAGGGGTCATTTCCCAAAGCCTCATAAAGCCTGCCCTCAGGTTCCTAAGACTTCACCACTCCCCTCTGTTAATTTAATTTTTCTCATCTTGTGAGAAGAGCTTTCTTTCCAACTGATGCATGTTTAAGTCTTCCCTGGTGTTGGAAAGGTGGTTGTTACACCTTTATATGGGCTATTTCTATATCAAGAACACATTGAGAAATTAAAACATTAAGAGAAGGACTTTAGCATATTAGAAACCATCAAAAGTGAAGTTCTTCATAACTAATGAGAACGTACTGCATAGCATAGGGAACTCTGCTCTGTGGTGACCTAAATGGGAAGGAAATCCAAAAAAGGGGAGATACATGTATGTGTACAGTATTTCACGTTGCTGTGCAACGGAAACTAACAACATTGTGAAGCAACTATCCTCCAATAAATTTTTTTTTTTAAAGTGAAGTTTTTCAAACTAAGATTCATGGGAAACCTTCAAATGTAGTTTATTAATTCCATTTTTAGTACCCAAACAGTGTAACTTATCAAAGTGAACTGTGATCAGATAATATTTATAATTTAGGACACTTGGAAAGAATTTAAAAGTCAAAGAAAGTACCTTAAAACCTAATCTAAAATATAATATCCTCCCATTGTAAAATAAATGAAAAATATATTAATAGAAAAGAGCTGGAAAAATATAGAAGTCTCCCAGAGTTCTTTCATTGATGAAACAGTATGTAATTATTTTTAATATGTCTTACATCTTTCTCTTTTTTATTAATATTTGTTTGCTCTAAGTACAATTGGAATTAGCAATTTTAACTGTCTTTTTCTATTTCATATATTAGAAACATTTGATAAATCATCTAGTTTTATTTTATAATTTTAAATAGCCATACAGTAGAGAAAGAAGTTTAAATGTGTTTTCAATTTTGTTAGAGATAAATTATTTTTAAGGTATTTTTTTTCTGTGTAGGTTTTAGATATGTGCACAATGAGAATGAACCTAAATTCACCAGCCAGATATCTTTATGATTTATATGGCAGAAAAATCAAAGAGATTTCGAAAGGTAAGTGGCAAAGATTTTGTAAACTATATAGTACTATCTCAAAAGATATTTACATAATTTTGTTTTTACTTTGTTCTTTTAAAAGGAAAACAGACATAAAAACCAGTTTAATTATAACATGAATAAATATGTCATTCTTATAGAAAGGGAAATCATGAAAGATTATTAAAGTTTAGAGAAGCTTTTGTTTCATCATGTTTTAGTCCATTTGGGTACTATAAAAAATACCATAGACTAAATGGTTTAAACAGCAAACATTTATTTCTCACAGTTATGGAGGTTAGTAAACCCAAGATCAAGACATTGGTAGATTCTGTATGTGTTAAGGGCCCTTTTCTGATTGATAGACAGCTGTCTTCTCCCTGGTTCTTAGATAGTAGAAAGGACCAGGAGGCTCTCTGAGGTGCTTTATATAAGACATTAATTCATTTATGAGGGCTCCACTCTCTTGACCTAATCCTTTTCAAATACAATCACACTGGGGGTTAGATTTCAATATATGAATTTTCGGGGGTCATGAACATTCATCTAAGCACAGCGCAAGCTTAGATTTTGAAAAAATGATGGGTATTTTAACCTTAGCAAGCCATACTTAGTAGACAAAAGTAATTGATATACTTTCATATTTAGCAACTTCTATGCTATATAGCTTTCAAAGAGAAAGATAAATTGTGCTACTGTATGCTCAGAGATTTCTTTTTTAATGTTTTGGTTAACTTCTAGAGGTTTTTCAAAAGTTATGAAATATGCTTTAAAACCATTTTGTTTGTGTTTGTCAAAATAAGAGATCTTCCTCTATATTTCTAAAGGCGCTGATTTGCCATTCTTTGAAAGCAAAAATACTTGATTCCACATTTGTGCTATCATTAAATTACTGTCAGTAACAATTATTACTTTACTTTTACTGTTTAAAAATTTTACTTTTTATTTCTCTAGTTGTAGTTACTATTACTTTAATAGTGCCACAGTTACACTATTAAATATGCTTCTGTATAGTTCTATCACTTCATTCAAACCTTGAGTTCACATATCTGAAGAGGGCCAGAATTGTAAGTGGCATACTTAACTGCAAGGCTAGATCCAGAAAGATGTGATTTTAGAATATAACTATACTAGATACTCCCATTTGTTTCCTTTATCCTTACTTTTATTTTATAAAAGCAAACTTTCCTAGCTTTATCATCCTTAGTGAATCTTATTGAGTGATCACTGTCATATTTTGGGGCTTCCATGGTGGCTTAGAGGTTAAAGTTCTGCCTGCAATGCAGGAGACCCGGGTTTGATCCCTGAGTCAGGAAGATCCCCTGGAGAAGGAAATGGCAACCCACTCCAGTATTCTTCCCTGGAGAATCCCATGGAGGGAGGAGCCTGGTAGGCTACAGTCCGTGGGGTACTTTTTTATTTATAATTCTTAAATTTTTTTTTGCTAAGTATTATATATTTATATATGTGTGTGTATTAGAAACTAAATCTATTTTTCTTAGTTATTTTTTAACGTTGATGTTAGGTATAAGCATTATTTTTCATTTTATTAGGAGTTTTCACCTGAAGATTTCAAGGCACTTATAGACACTTACCCATTACTATCTAGAAGCATTAGTTATTTACCTCTAAGACATAAGTAACACAAGCAATCCCTCCTTATGTTTTTTTTTCCTGGGGGAATTGGGAGAGTAACATTATTAAAGTTGATTTCTCCTTCTTACATTTTTGGCCCCTACCTCATCACATTGGCTTAAATTTTCTAGGATAAACAATACTATGTAATTGCTCTTAAATTTTCATTAAGAAAATAAAGAACACTTTTTCTTAAGATCCTATCTTGCTTTGAATAATTTCCAGCTCACCTGGAATTAAAAAATTGTATTTGAGTAAATTGCTGGAGTTGAAACTCTTAAGAAACCCTGGTTAAGATAAAAGTTTAAATTTAGAAAGTCGTTTTTTTTTTTCCCCATCCCAAATGTGGTATAATAGAATTACTTATCAAAATAGAAAAGTTCTGACTCCAAGGCGTGAGACTTCATGGCTGCCAGGGGCATTCAGATTCATGCCTCATGCTTCATGTGTCCCAGAAGTGTGCTATTATCACATTTTAATGCATGCCTTGCCCCGTGGTTTTGCATACTTATAAAAGCTTATGCCAGCTGAAATTAGCCTATGCAACTACTAACATGTGGAAGCATAACAAGTTCACTGGACTTAAAATACTTAAAGAAGGTAATCCTGTTGGAGGAACTTCCAGTCTGCAGCACCCTAGTCACTTAACATTAGGTTTTTGCATTTCTTTTTTCTTTGTTTGTTAGTATGATTTTGTGCATCAAGTGATTGAGGTCCCTAAACCTTTATGTCTGATAGTCTTCTGAACTTTTAACTTGGGAAAGGTCAGGTGTTATATAAAGCTCTCTTTTACTTTAAATAAATGCCAACATTCTGATTTTATGTATAACTTTCTTTTGATTGCTTGCTCAGTGTCAGATCAGAAAAAGTCACTTAATAATGTTTAATATTAATATCATAGAAATTATATTTTATTTTAAGCACAAATTATGAGTGTAATGGGTATCAAGAGCGGAAAGTAACAGATGTACAAAAGAAAAAAATTTTCTCCTAACTGTTGCTTCTTTTTTGGCATTAGATATACTTTCAGGTGTTCATCCTATGCTATAAGAAATGAGCACATTTGACATGACATTAAACCTTTTTTTTTTTTTTTACTTTTTCAAGTCTAATAAAACCTTCAAAATCCCATCAGATTTGCAAATGGTCAAATTTCTAAACCATAGAAGATTTTAGCAAAGAAATTTACTTTGTTCTATGCGGAAAAGTCCTTAAGTTGTGTCTCCTATGTTGATCTATCCTTTTGAGAGCAGAAGAGACGTACTCACTGTGTAAAGATGCTGTGTCCCACATGTGGTCGACGTTACTGGTACAGCGTTTCTAGCAGAGCATGAAATCAGTGTGAGAAATGCATTCTGCAAAATTACATCCTCAAAAATAACAGGGCTGTGAGAAAAACAGGTTTGAGGAAGACCATTCAAAGTCTATATACTTTCAAAACTGGAACACTATCTAAAATAATAATTATTAACTTAGGAGATAATACGAACAGTCTGGGTAGTCATCTCAGAGTTCTGCAGAAGATGGTAAAGCTGCACAGAAACATTAGAATGTGAGACAGTGCGGATGAAAGTCAATTGGAGCCTAAGTCAGTGGGGTTTTTTTTAAAGAAGCCACAGGAGGAAGCAAAACTCCCACAGAGAGTCATGCAAGGCAGAGGGTGCACCTTTCTGGGAAGGGAGTGCCAGAGCAACAGCCAAGCTGATGTCTTTTATCTTCCCTGCTAAAGGACAGAGTTCTACTGCTACTCTGTTGGTCTCCACTGCCTCGGAAAAAAGCATGTATTCACCAACCAAACTTTATCTTGCTGACATCATTACCCTATTTACCAATCATACATGAGCTACCTGGGTCATAGAGCGCTTGGTAGTGGCAGAACGCATGTAGATAGTATTAGATTTTGATGAAGTTGTTTAATAACGCTCTTATTTCCCTTAACATTCCCCAACATTTTGTTCTCTTAACTTATTTATTAACTTCTCTTATTTGTTAACTTCTCTCAACTTATTTATTGCATCATGGTGAATGAAGTGAGTCATTCTTCCTCTTAAGAAAGGCCATAGTCTCTTAGGATCTTTCTGATGCTACTATTCCAATAACCAAGTCACTCCTCCCCACTGCTTTGTGGATCTTTCTAGATCATGGTGGGTAGTATGAAATGTACCCTAGAAGATTCTGAAATGAGTTAGAATAGTACATTAATTAAGTTGGCTTCAAAGTCATGCTATGAAGCACTAAACATTCATTTCCTATTCCATTTCCTACTTCAGGTTAGCTGCCCAAAATAGCTATATATTCTTTAAAAAGTTCTTCAGAGATTCTACAGTGATATCAAATGACAGGATTAACATATTTCAACCACAGAGTTCCAATAACATACCCTCAGTGTGCATGCTTACTCTTGCCCATTATCAGATTTTTGTAAAGAAATCAAATTTGAAGAATAAAATGCCAAAGAAGTTAAAATCCAAAAATTTTAAGTCTTCAGAGAAGTGAATTCCAAAATCAAATAATCTTACCTTTGTGAGCTAAAATCCAATAAAAGTTCAAACTTTTGAAATTAAAATTCAAAGAAAGTGAAATCCTTCCTATTTTATGCTTTCCAGTATCAGCCAGATGGTTTCTGGATGGCTGGTTTGAGCTGGAATTCCTCCAGCAGCTACCGTCTGGGCTCCTGCAGTGGGTGTCATCCCCCAGGACCTCAGAAGTTGAAATGGGTCTCCACCAACTTTCTCATGTTCCCTACTTCCCGCAGAACCAACAGATGACCACATTAGCCCTACACCCAGCACATTCAGAATAGAATCCAGTTCCCCAGTTTCTCATATGGTCTTTCCAAGCAAAACAATGTGTTTCCTGTTTGGCATGATCCACACCCACATGACCATTGCCAAAGACCATAGCAGAGACTAAGTGAAGGAAGGCAAAGAAGAAAAACCATTGTTCATGTCAAACTTGCCAGAATGTCAGCCAATTTTTATTGTTGAGCAGAGTATATGACCTGTGACATAGCTCAAAGGGAAGCAGCTTCCCATCAGAACATTATTTAAGCATTATGTGTTTATAATATCTTGCTTGAGAAATTGGCCACTGTACACTGTCTCCTCTCTCAAAGAGGCTTTATGAAGTGCCAATTAAGTGCTTTGATTTTGGAGCCAGAATTTAGATTTCAGTTATGCCACTTATTGTATGACCTTGAACAGGTTATTCAGTTTTTCTGAGAGTCAGTCTCCTAATCTAAGATAGGGATTATAATATTTACTTTATAGATTGTTGTAGAATTAAATGAGGTCTACTTAGAGTTCTTAGAACACATGCCTGACACTTGGTAAGTGTTGTAGAACGTTATCATCATTATTGCTGTTATTTTTATTCTGGAAGAG